TTTTATTTATTAATTAATGAATTAAATGAGTTTAATTAGCTTTAATTTCTTCCTCTTCTTCTCTCTTCATCTTCTTTCTCCTCATCCTTATCTTCAGCCTTATCCTCATCCCTGGCATCATGGCATTATGTAATCACCATCCTCTTCCTCTCCCCTTCATCATCCTGGGTTCCTCGAGGAACCCAGTTTTTGGGTTCGGACCCTCTTTCTTTTTTTTTTTTTTTGAATGTATCCATATTACATAATGGAGTCGAATGAAATCAAAGTTTCATATTCGTTTTTGAATTAGAGAAGTTAAGTTTTGGGTTGATTATGAAACCCAAATCGTGTTGGATATGTGGCTTTGAAATTGCAGGGGATAGATTCATATGGTTGTGTTTATGTTGCTATGAACTTCGTAACTTGATTCATTCATTACCTAGGTTTAACAGGAAAAAAGGGTTGAAAATCTGTAAAGAGAAGGATTGTTTTGCAGAGAAGAAGTTAAGACTGACAGTATTAATAATTCACTTTAATTAGTAATTAATTTTTATTCTTACTAATGAAAATGATTTTATGAAAATAATTTTAAGAATTCTCAATTATATCTTGACTAATCTCACATGCAAAGAGTTGATTATGAATGAGAAATGAGACTTTTGAAAGAAAGAAGATGATGTCTAAGGAGGAACCTGGAGAATTGCAGAATGTGGGTCCCATCAATTAAGTTTGTTTTTCAAGTGAAGAGAGTGACATGGAGGGGTATATTAAGTGCACATAAGCATTTTTACACGGTGGAATATCCACATCAGCAGTTTCCGTTAAGATAACTTGCCATGTGAGCAAAATTTAATAGAAGGACCAAAAAGAAGCCGAATTGTAAAATTCAAGGACCAACAAGGAGATTTTTTCAGTACATGGATAAAAAATGAGCTTTTTTCAATAGTAAAGGGATCAAAAAGGATATTTAACCTTCTTTGTAACATTATTGTGAGTTTTCCACCTAACGTTACAAATTAAATTTAAATTTAAAAAACAAAAATTTCAAGAAACTGAGAATGGTTCCAGAATAGTTATTTTTGAATTAGGCAAAATACCCAAATCCATCCCTAAAGGATAGGATAGTGACAGGGATAGATTTATTTCCAAACAAAAAAAAAAAAAACAAATCCACCCATAAAATTTTCTACTTAAACATATCACCTCAAATTTAACGTGTGACGTCATATGACGTCATTAATCTATTAACAATGAACTTATTAGCGACATAATAAATTAATGGATTGTTAATGTTAAATAACATTACACATTAAATTTGAAGTGATTTATCCAAATAAAAAATTTTGTGGGTAAATTTGTCCATTTTTTGTTCAAGATAAATCCTTCCCTACCACTATATTTTGAGGATGGATTTGGGCATTCTATCTTTGAATAAATTGTGTAGACTCCTCCACTTACCATTACAAGTTAAATTTAAATTTAAAGGACAAAGGTTTCAAGAAACTAACCATGATTCTAGAATAACTATTTTTATATTCTCTATAACATTATTCTTGTAAGCTCTCTACCCACCGTTACAAATGTGAGTTCTTTATCTACCGTTACAAATTAAATTTTAATTTAAAGGACAAATGTTTTAAGAAACTGATAACGGTTGCAGAATAGCTTTCAAATTCTCTATAATGTATTACATATATATGTAATACCATACGTGTCTATTGACGTGGGATTTAGAGTACTACAATCTTCACCACTTTTAATTTTTTGTTTTTATATTATTTTTATTGCTTAATTAAAATAGAAATTTGAGTAAGCCTTTGCGTTCACTACTAAAATTTCTATTATCAGCAGCATGCTTTCATGTTGCTGAAAATGGTTCATATGTTGCTGAAACTCTTTCAGCAACATGCCTCTAGTTGCTAAAACCTTTGTTGGAAATGCCTTGGTGGGTGATACATTAGCAACATGGAGCTTGTTGGTGATGTATCAGCAACATGAGGCACATTGTTGAAAATATAATTTCAGCAACATGCCTCATATTGCTAAAAATTTTGCCAAATTTTGATAAAAAGTCCAGCCAATGTTTTGAATTTTTTCAGCAACATAAGTCACGTTGCTAAAATTAAAATTTCAGCAACATGGCTTATGTTGCTGAAAGTTTAAGGGAAATTGTGGTTTTTTTAGGTGCTTTTCCTATCTCATTTTCAACAACAAGAGCCACGTTACTGAAAGTTTAGGAATAGTACATCCCCTAGTTTTTAGCAACATATGCCTTGTTGCTAATATTTATTTGCATACTTCCGCCATATTTGTTGATATTAATTAACTATATTAATAAATTTTAGCTTAATTAATGCAAATTAAATAACATCAATTAATTAATGTCTTATTATGTATTTTACCAAACTTGAATTTTATTTTATTAAGAATTACATACAAAACAAATAAACGAACAAAATTATTAATTACTAAAGATAATTATTTATAAATATATTAACTTCCAAATAAATTAATATATACTTAATAATGTAATATTTATAAAAATATGATTTAAATATAGTTAAAGGGAATTGATGGAATTTTTTCAATTATTAATAT